ATAATAATAATAATAATAATAATAATAATAATAATAATAATAATAATAAAAAACGGAACAGATACAATAGGGTTCCATGCTCCGATGGAGACATGGAAACGCTGCTGCTTTGCAGCTGCGTTACCCTGCTTCCTCGGGCTTGGACCCCTAATAATAATAATAATAATAATAATAAAAAACGGAACAGATACAATAGGGTTCCATGCTCCGATGGAGACATGGAAACGCTGCTGCTTTGCAGCTGCGTTACCCTGCTTCCTCGGGCTTGGACCCCTAATAATAAAAATGGAGAAAACACTACGGGAGAGACAGAGTGTAAAAGGCAAGGACTGTGCAAACACAGGTTTGATTTTCTATCCCTGTGGGGACCGTGGATTGACTTCCATTCATTTTCTGGTAATTTTACAGCCTAACCCTGACCATTAACCCCAAAACTACCCTCACAGGTACCTACCTGACCCTAAAACTAACCTAAACTCAATTCACACCTTGGACCCACCCTAATCCTCCACCTGAAATTATCATCTGTGCCCGTGGGGACCGGGCTTTGGTCCCCACGAAACTGCCTTCTTTTTCTGGAAAATGGTTTCCACGATCTAGTAAAAATGTGCCCCCACCTCCTCTGTGGACTCTTCACCCAACACAACACTGATCCTTGAGTGAAAAAAAAAACAATATCCAGCCATCATTATTGTTGTTTATAAACTTTTATGAGCTGTGGGAGGGCAGAGGGAGGAATTATGATAATTTATGGCCCGCTGTATCTTCAGCTCGTTTATACTCGGTCAGGAAAAAGATGTCGTAAATGAGGCAATCACCGACCCCGTCTCATGTCGTATTGAAGTATAACCCCAGCTTAAGGTTGATTAGCTGTGGAGGACACCTTGAATGGGACTGACTCCAGAGTGTAATCAGTTATAGATAGATATCTAGAGACTATTCTCTGACAGTTTTACTAAAATTCATTCAGTGGTTCATGAAATATTTTGCTAAGAGACAAACAAGGTTGAAATCTACAGTTAATGTCAAAATTCTTAGCAAAGCTCTGGCGTGATCAGTTATTCCTCAGAGTATGAGTTAAGGATCACTCTCAGTTACTACCACAACAGATTTTGGTTGGCTGTGGCAGACATCTTGAATTGGACCAAAAGCTAATCAAATCATTTTCTATTTCATTACTGCCCATCTTTCAGCAGAGTGATAAAGGTAGAGCCTAACTGAACAAATCTCTATAGTTGTAAACATTTTGTTGTTTAGTTTGATCTCCTAAAAAGACATTAATGGTACGCAGCATTTATCATATTTAGACTTATTCAATGTTCTCCAAAAAGCAATGAAAAATGTGTTTGTGTGTCTCACCTGGACTGTAAGTGTTCCAGCTGTACCTGCAGATTCTCAGTCTGCTCCACCTGCTCATCCAGAGACCTCTGCAGCTTTCTCGTCTGGTTGTGAGACTCATCCAACTAAACACACAATAACAAACATGCATGAAGCCCTTTAGTGTTCACAAAACAAACAAACAAACAAACAAACAAACAAACCTATGACATTTGATGGCTTTAATGCCACATAACAAGACTGGTCAAGCTAACTGGAACCTAGGATCTTAGCTAATGATTGATTGGTTTGATAGATTTTTTAAAATTTATTCAGTCAGTCATCAAATGGTTTGTTATCAACATTTGCTATAATTGTGGCAAGCTGAAAAAGTTCAAAATGTGGAAGAACAGATTCAAAGAGGAACAAACATCAACAGGTCACATGACCAAGAAACACAGATGGACTGAAAGACCCAACGATAAATACAGCCACTAACTGGAAACACATTCAGGGGATTAAAAGAGCCTGATAAGCTTTAAAAATTGGAGACAAAAATATAAAACCTAAAAACAAGAACAATAAAATGTAAAATATATA